AAAATTTTATTTTAAAGGCGAATTAAGACCAATCAAGTTCCTAATTAATAAGATATTTCTCGCACCACTTCTCTTTTCTAATTTGAGCAGATTAACAACACTACCAGGTTTGTAAGAGTATCCTGCAAGGTCCTTTCATAGAAGAGGCATTAATTGGTTATTGACGAATTGACTACTGTTCTTTAAAATGCAAGGTGGTATCTTAATGGGACTAAGAGAGAGAAAAGATAACTCCTTTAGGCTGGCAGAAAGTTCAGTGTTTATTTTTAGAGCAGAGGTGGAAATATTTACTTTCAATAGTTTAGATTTTTTTTTAAATGGAATATAGAATTCAAAGTTAAAAAATAAAACACATTTTTGGACATGCTAGTTAAATTACAAATTTTTATCCTGATTAACTTACTGAATAAAATATATTATTTTGAATTTGATCAATATATATTATGAACTGTTTTAGTTTAAAGTAAAAAGCAACACCAATACAGAAATGCTTATAATAATGATAATTAGCATATGCTATTTTTCATTCTAAAATAAAATATACCCAAAGACCATAATAGTATCTCTGGGCAATAAGTAATATTTAATCATACTCATCTTTTAACAACTAGAGGAAATAATTTTTTTGTGTTAGGTAGAAAAATCAGATTTTAAGAAATTCTTAAACATATTGTGCATTGATGTGTGTTATAATTGTTATTTTCTTATTTTTGAATATTCAGATTTTGCTAATGAGCATGTGTCACTTGTGTATACACAATATACTGTACAAAAACAGCATCTTAAATTGTTGCATTTTCTATTTTCTATCTTTAAAAACAAAATATTTTCAGATAAATATATTATTTTTTCAATCTAGAAGACATTCTTCCTAAAACACACACACACTAAAAACCTAGTTCTAAAAATGCTGTCCTCTAGATCTTAAAAGTCTCAGGAGAAACATGACAGATGTTGTCAGAGGAGAAAATGAGCCTTATCTGAGAGTTGGAAGGGGCTTTGGCTGTGCTCTGGGGCTCAGGGTTTGATCTGCAGGGGAGATGTGAATGTCATGTGCTTTCAAAGTACTCAAAAGAGAAACAAAGCCTGCAGGAGAAAACTTGACCATGCACCTCTTCCCTGCAGCCTAGAAGTCTAGCATAAAAACCTATTTTTGTTTCAACATAAAAATTTTAAAAAATCCTCTCTGTTACAGCTAGAGATGAACGAGTTTTATCTTCCAACAATAGAATAAGAATTACAAAGAACTATTTCTAGGGTATGGAAAATTTAGTTTCCATATGAAGGTGGTTAATCTTTTAGACTCTGGCTGCATTCATGCTTTGCACCTGCTGTGATTTTTACTCATTTATCTGACTCCGCCTGCCTTCTGAAGCTCAGTATTTGAATAATAAGATAGCTGGAAATGTTGAGTGTGGAAAATTGTCTTTTCCAAATTTGGCCACAGTAATACCTCCAGCCCACATGTTCTTCTGTGTATGACCTTGCCACTCCTGTCAAGAAGTGGAGATAATTCCCCTTCCCTTGAATCTTGAGCTGGTATTTATGACCTGCCTGTAACTAAGAGAACGTAGTGGAGGTGAGACTGGGTGCCTTACAAAGCAGGATTAGGAAAGGCCATGTAGTTTTCACCTGGTTCTCTTAGGACACTTGCCCTGGTGGAAAGCCAGTCACCATGTAAGAAGCCTGACAACTCTGGGACCACCATGCTGAAGAGGCCATATATAGGCATATATAGGTAGTCTAGTGGACAGCCCAAGTTGAGCTCAGCCCCTGAGCCATCCCTACCAAGACACCAGACATGTTAGTGCAGCTATCGGGGACCCTCCAGAGTAGCCTATTTGTCAGCTGAATAACACTGAGTGACCCTAGTCAACCTCAAGAAGAGCAAGAGAATCGCCCAAATGAGCCCTAAAGTCGCCAACCTATGAAGTCTGTAAGATATAATTAAAAAGTTGCTGTTTTCAACCAGTAGGTTTTGGAGAAGTCACAGGAACAGTGACTACAGCATAATCAACTAGGAGCTACTAAAGGAGAGGTGAGGGACCAAAAATCCATAGCTGAAAGGAAAAGACAGAAGAAAGCTTGAACAAGGTACAGACTAAATGTTACAAAATGTCATGCCAGGTGCCTTAACTAATAAGCCCTGTATAGAAAAACAATTAAAATGCTAAACACAGCACTTAAAAATTGTCTTAAATGTACTAAACAGCTACAAAAAGAATATGAAGATAGCTTGATTAAAAAAAAGTAAATGAAAATATTGCCCAGAGAAGTCAGGTTAGTATGAAAACTGGCTTTGATCTTGAGGGCACCTGTATTAAATCTGGTGAATTTGAGTGGCCATGGTCATAGCCTGGTAAGATAAAAGAAACACACAAAACCTCGTCAAGTTTTATAAATAATCCTCCTTCCATAAAGGAGATACCAAATGGCAAGCCCTCCGTGTAAAGGTGAACTAGAATATCTGACCCCCCAGAGGACAGCAAAGAAAATTGCATGTTGGTACTTAATGAGTAAAGGAGGGGGCAAGAAATGTACCTTGAGAATTTCAATCCATGAGTCAGACAACACAGGGGATTACTGCCTGAATTCATAGTGGACCAACAAAGCTAAAAGCTTTTAACTTTCAAAAAAAAATTCACTCCAGGTAAATAAAGAACTTAAATGTGAAAAGCAAAACTATAAACATTTTAGAAGACAGTACAGGAGAATACACATATGATTCTGGTATGGGAAGAATTTTCTTTTTTGAGTTGTAGTCTCATTCTACTGCCCAGGCCGGAGTGCAGTGGCATACTCATGGCCACCCCAGCATCGACCTGCTGGGCGCCGGCGATCTTTCTGCCTCAGACTTCCAAGTAGCTGGAAGTACAGGCGTGTGCTACCATGGCCACCTAATTTTTTGATTTATTGTAGAGATGAGGTCTCACCCTGTTGCCCAGGCTGGTCTCGAATCTGCCAGCTCAGACAATCCTCTTATCTTGGCCTCCCAAAGTGCTGGGATTGCAAGCTTGAGCCACAGCACCCAGTTGGAAAGAATTTTCTTAAAAGGAACAAAATCATAAACGATAAAGAAAAAGGCTGCCAAATTCAATTGTATTAAATTTAAGAATCTTTTCATAAAAAGGTACCATAGAGAGAGAGTGAGATGTCATCAATTGGGAGACTATCTATCCATCTACACTATGAATATTTGCAACATATATAACTGGCAAATATTCATAGATAGGTAGATGAATAGATAGTATATATATGAAGTATATATATGAAGAATTCCTATGAATCAACAAGAAGTTGACAGCCCAAAAGAAAATGGGCAAAGACCAGGCACCCCACAGAAGTGGGATCCAAATACTCGAAAGGTATTTGAAAATATGCTCAACTCACTAAGAATTAACGAGAGGCAAAATAAAAGCACAGTAAGATACTACTTCATAGCTTTCTCCTTTAGGGCACATTTCTCAGCCTGGCTCTCCTCTCCATCTTCAAGGGTCTCCTCTTCGCCTTTTCCACATAAGTGTTGACTTGCGGTTCCAATAACTATGTCCATTCTGTCAGTTACCGACTTTTTCTCCTGTATATTCAAACTTTCCCTTTCTTTTGGCTTCTTCATAGCATAAAATATTTCTCAAATATTTCCCATAAATTTTTTAAAAAATCACTCCCTTGATACCCTATCTTACTTTCCAAATTTACCCACCCAAGTTTACAGCCTTCACAGTCCCAGTCACACCTCAAGTGACTATGTCATCATACTGCTTCCCTTCAGAACCCAGATTCTTGGGAAAGAGCTTGATCCTCACTGTCTCCACCTTAGTCAGGCTTCCACCTACCAGTCCACTAAAATGCTCCCTCTGCACACATATGGCCGGCCTCCGTGACCTTGTCCTTCTAGGCTGCTATGCTACCCATCTTCTCCTCCTTCCCTACCTCAGAGACGTTTCTTCTCAATATTCCCCTGTTTCTTCCTAAATGTTGCGTTCCTGGGGTGCTATTTTTGGCCTCCTTCTGTTCTTGTTGTGAACATTCTTCTTTTGTGATCTTATTTCTTCCAACTCTTCATTTCCACGTACGAGGTAATAATTTCTGAATAAAAATCTCCAGTATGTGCTTGACACATAGTAGATGCTTTACAGAATGAGACTACCCAGGAAAAAGCATCAGCACAGAATGTCACTAAACGCCTAGTTCTAGTATTAAGACTGCAGATGGCATGAGTTTATTCAAGATCAGATTTTGCTTAGAGAAAAAAATTAAGAACCCATTACCAGGAATATTTTAAAAATCCTGAAGTTAGAAATTTAGAAACAAATAGCTAGCATAAATCTTTGGCTATGTGGCCATGATACTCATAAAATAACAGTCTTTCTATATTGACAGAAACATCTATATATTTAATTTTTTCTGAACTGTGTGCAATGATATAGGTTTGGGATTGGCAAGTCATGACCTGCAGGCCAAATCTGGCCCACCATCTGTTTTTATAAATAAAGTTGTATTGGAACACATGCACACCCATTCAATTACACATTGTCTGTGGTTGGTTCCATGCTACATTGGCAGAGCTGAACAGTTACAACAAAGATTATATGGCCCACAAAGCCTAAAGTATTTATTGTCTGGCCATTTATATAAAAAGCCTCGACAGACATAAAACCTTTCCCACTGTTAACATATCCCTTAAAATGATAAGTTGTAAAAGTTATATTTTCTAAGAGTTTGGATAAATCCTGGTTGTGGGAAAGCCCTCTCCTTCCAGGTTTAAATGCAGGTAGATTACACGGTAGCTAAGAACTAGTATTCTTTGAGACTTAGTTGAAAGAACTACATTGACATCGCTAAATATACCACTGACAGGGCTTAAATAATCGGAGGCAGAAAATTGTTGGAATGTTTGGTAAGATCTAGAACCCCAGGATGACTAAGTAAAAGGTAAATGGGTACTGGAGTGTTCAGAAAAGCAATACAAACAGCAGGAAAGCCTTTGGGATTCTTGCCTTGTCTGCAGGTGTTAACCTGGCCCAGGGCTTGTCTGCCCGGCGGTCATAGTCAGGAGAATCAGTGACTTCTACATACTCATTAAAACGCAGGATCCTTCGAGCTTGTAGCTCTGCCACTGTGGGTCTCAGACTGAGCTGCAGGAGGAAAGGAGAAAAAGGCAGAGTTTAGTAAACCATTTACAGCCTCATGGTGGCAAGTTTTCTATAGAGAACACTTCAAAGTTATGGTTAAATAAGGTCACTTTCAGGTATCAGAAAAGAACAAAAAAGGCAGTAGCATCTTGGGAATTTCTAATGAGAACTAGAAAGCAGTGTGCCCTAATTTTTGAGACTATAAAAATCATCATTGTTAGATAGGTCACAGTCTTTGGCAACCACCTGCATTATGCTATTTTCCCCAATGTGCTTGACACTATGATAAAGACCTGTCATCCCCGACATAAGGAACATGCAAAACACAGAAAAAATAGTAACCCAGATATGGGATGGCTGGTTTGGTGACCGAATTATCAAGACAAAAGCCATGACATTTTGAGAAATGGGCATAAAAATCTCTGTTCCTCTTATATTAAACCTATATATCCAGAAACACAAAGTTACCACACAGAAATGGTCCAATAAACGGTGTCCCTACAGCACAGCTGTCCTTGAGAGAATAAGGACCAAGGCCCCAATCTTTTAGTTGGCCATAAAAACTCATGTGCAGGAATAAGGAAGGGAGAGTCGCTGGAGAAATGTAATTCCATGGGGCCATAAATACTCAAACCAGCTGCAACCTTTAAAACACTTCTAATAACTTGGGTTCCTCCTTGTGGTCTTTGTCAAGTTCACATTTACAATTATATTTAAACTACCCAGCCCTTTGAGTATTTACTTTCCTTTCTTGGTTCTTTCTCAAACCCAAGAATAAGACTGAAACAGTTCTGACAGATGAAAGAAACCTGCCCTCCTGGTTGACAGGCACCATCTACTCTCTGTTCACGAGGTTGACCCCCTTTCCTGGCCCTTCTCAGTTAAGAGGTATTGCAGAACGAGGGGGGACCCAAAAAAACCCAGAACTATTTTTTGGAGGGTGGGCCGCTTGTAGTACAGGCTTCCTCCACTAGGTAAGTGTTCTAGGATCCCATCAGCATCAGTGTACCAGCTACTGTTGTTGTACGAGGCTGTGTTCAGCTTCAGTTTTTTTTTTTTTTAGATTCTTTCAATGTATATGTCCATTTCATGATGGGTGAATTATGAACACACCTGCCCACACCCCACTGAGTGTTCAGCAGTTTTTGACCAAAAATGGCATGGTCCTGTGCCCTATCCTCCCTACTCACTTGATCTCATCCCGAGCAACATTTTTCTTGTTTCCCCAGATGAAAAAAGTCCTCAACCAGAAACGTTTTGCCAATGTTGAAGAGGTGAAACAAAAAACAGCAGAAGCACTCAAAAGGCATCAAAATTGACAAGTTCAAAAACTGTTTTGAGCAGCGGAAAAAGCATCTTGATAGATGTATTACACCAAAAGGAGAGTACTTTGAAGGTGACTGAAGTTTAAATATGTAAGAATAAATACACAATTTTTTATAAACAAATTCCATTTTTTCGGGTCCCCTCTTGTATTTCCAGACAGGTAAACCCAGGCCTCTATTTTGCCTAATGGGTCCATTTTCACTATTTTTTTCCCCTCTTTTATATATACTCTGTATATAGATTACCCATGGTCTAAGAGGTCCTCTTTGGAGATATTCCTTATTTGCGTGATTTCAAGGATGATACACTGATCATATACTCTGGAGTCAAAAATAATCCCTTTTCTAGGCCTCAGTTTCCTTCTGAGTAAAACCAGAGGTTGAACTAAGCCAGTGCTCAAGGATTAAGTCAAAGCATTCAAGGACTCTTAGAAGGCCTAGGCCCATTCCTGAGCTCACTTGAGATGAGAAGTGCCAACTACAGCTCCTTCTATCTTCATACCTGGTAGGCAATGGACAAGGGAAGGAATAATATAGGTGGTCTGTTATACAGCAGCTAAGGCTGCTGTCCAATCTATATTGCTAGCTTCTGGCTGCAGGTGGCATAAGGAGGTGGAGAAACCCTTGCTTCTGAGGATCAGCCAGAAGAAAAGTGATCAATGGCCACACAGGTCAGAAATTCTCCACACAGCCTTGACCTCAAAACTGTGCCAGTCATGGGGTGGCTACCAGTGCTACAGGCTGACCTGAGCCTGTGACAGGGAACTCTGTAGAGAGGAGGCAAGTAGGGGCAGATGGGAGGGGCAGAGAGTAAGGGCAGGCACTGTTGGACTGAACAAAGACTGTATGTATCATAGGAGTGAGCCGGGAGAAAGGAGGAGGGGCAATTGCAATTACTTGTCTGCAGCTGGTAACTTAAGAGCTACTGAATGCTAGAAGAGCCAGACCTAGAAATTGAGTTTACAGAGTCTGTCAGTTTGATCATTATTTGATATTGAGGAGCATTGAGAAAAAAAAGAAATAAATTAAGGCTCCTCTTCCATGAAAAACAAAAACAAAACCTTTCAAGATATAGCGCCTACGGCTTTTCCATGGGAAAAGCTGCCCTGGAATGCTTTTGCTGTGGACTCCCCAGCCAGCCCTTGAAAATGTGGGCCAGCACGGTTCAAGACCAGCCTGAACAACATGGTGAAACCTCATCTCTACAATAAAATTTTAAAAAGTAGCCGTGTGTGGTAGTGCATGCCTGTAGTACCTGCTACTTGGAAGGTTGAGACAAAAGGATTGCCTGAGCCCAGCAGGTTGACGCTGGGGTGGCCATGAGCATGTCATTGCACTCCAGCCTGGACGATGGAGTGAAACTCTGACTCAAAAAAAAAGAAAATGTGGGCCAGGTCACACATTTCATTAAAATGTCATATTTTAGTCACTGCTCTTTTCCAGGTGTGAAAAGTGTATCTGAAGAATTATTGCAAGGATTTAGAATTAAATACAAATTCTGACGGGGCTCAAATTTTCCAAAGAATATTATCATTTTAACATAGAAAAAAGTGACAGCCCTGACATCAGCTCTACATTTTCATAAATAAGGGGAAACGATGGTCTGAGTTTGGGAGGTAAGCCATTTGGCAACTTGGGTACATACTAGCAGGCAGGCTGATAATCAAATTCACTTAGTAAATTACCCAGCTCTGACATGAAATAGTGGCAAATCTTCAGGAGCAACAAAACATTTACTTATTTACTATTTCCAAGATGAAATGAAAAGTGTGAGCATTTTTTTTAAAACTTTTTTTTTTTTGAGTAGGAGTCTCACTCCTTTGACCAGATTGGAGTGTAGCGGCATGCATGTTCGTGGCCACCCCAGCATCAACCTGCTGGATCTGGTGATCCTTCTGCCTCAGTCTTCGAAGTAGCCACAACTACAGACATGCGCTACCACGCCCGGCTATTTTTTATTTTAGAGACGAAGTCTCGCCAAATTGACCAGGCTGGTCTCAAACCCACGGAATACGGCAATCCACTCGCCTCGGCCTCCTTTGGCTGGGATTACAGGCTGAGCCACTGAGCCCAGCCAGAACAATTAAAAAAAAATATATATATATATATTGAAATGTTAATAATGGCTATTTCTGAATGGAAGACTTTTGTGTGATTTTATTTTCTTTTTTGTTTCTTTTGCAATTTTCACACAGGCTATATATCTTCATAATCTGTTAATGCAATCTAGAACCTTCATTAGCTTTTCAAAAGTAACACAACATGCAATTATAAACATAATTCATATTGGGTGCATTATACTGATTTTGATGTCTATGATTATAGACTGATAGGAATTCCTAAACATTAGACTTACAAGTAGAGAGAAGGGTTTGTTGGTTTGTTTATTTTTTGAGTCAGGGTCTCACTGTCACCCAGGCTGGAGTGTAGTGGCACCATCACAGCTCACTGCAGCCTTGACCTCCTGGGCTCAGGTGATCCTTCGGCCTTAGCCCCACAAGTAGCTAGGACTACAGAAGTGTGCCACATGCCTGACTAATTTTTTGATTTTTTTGTAGAGACAGGTTTCTCTATATTTCCCAGACTGGTTGCAAACACCTGGGCTCAAGCAATCCTCCCACTTCAACCCACAAAGTGCTGGGATTACACACGTGAACCACCATGTCAGGGCAGAATTTTCATTTGAAAAAAAAAAAAAGTCTATCTCAAAACAAACGTACTCATTAACAGTCATGATTTAATCACCTTTCTGCTGAGTCTGCGTTTAAGTTCCATTTTTGCTTCTTGTTCCTCTTCTTCATTCTTTTCTGTTGATTAAGGGGGGAAAGACATGATGACTTAGTTATTATAGATAATTTTATAATCAGAAAAGAATATCAGGTCACAATTATTTGAATCTAACAGATACTGATAAAATACTCCACCAACAGCTTTTAAAAGCTGTCAAAAAATTTTGCATTTATATACAATTTTTTTCCCTTGTAGGACTGATTTATTTACTTTGCTAATTTTAAAACTTTTGCTTCCTGGCTTCCTGTTCTGTTCTGAAAAAAAAAGTAAGAGTGCCCATACTCTGGTGAAACCCTTCTATTGCTGATTATCTCATGAGCTTATAAGCACAATTTATCAGAATTCAGATAAAAATTTACTTCTGGATCTGGCCTTCATGTGAAAATCTGAGACATATTAAAAGAGCAAATTAGAACCATCCGATGCATGTCTGAGCTGCTGATTTTCATTCAAATTCAACCAAAATATTTGATTTGTCTTCCTTCGTTCCCATGGAAGCAGAATGTAAGCATTTCTTTGGACTTTGCTTTCAAACCAGAATGTTCTAAATGGGGTTATGGTGTACTGTGGGTGGAAATTATTTATTTTCTTGTGACTTTGACTTTCCAAAGTCTCCTTTTTCTCCAGTGCTTCACCGAGTAGTACAATTTTATGGTGTCCAACAGATGGGATTTAAAGAAAAACGTCCGAATTTTTAAAGAAATAAGCACCCCTTCAGGTTTTACTGGTTGTTGCTTATTTGAGGAACTTTTCTCTGTTGCTTCCCCTGTGGCTCATCACAGTGAGCATAGATCCAACTTCTTGGAAACCAGTGCTTATAAAAGATTACCAGCTAGAAAGTGCTGTAAATGCTTTTGAAGGAAAATTATGTTGTATAAAGGCTCAACCAAAAGGTTTAAAAAAAATTTCTGTGAAAAGATAATTATATTTATTTTAAAATTTCAAATAGATATCTTACTACTAAGCTTATTTTTACTTCAAACAAAATATGAGTATTCAATATTTACAAAATCTGTAATTATTCATTGAGCAGGTTAAATTCTCTATCAATTTTTCTTCTCTGGATAGGGAATAGTTTCTACAATTTTTCTGAAATACTATCTTCAATTCATAAGAAAGAGAATGATTAGTCTGGTTATTCAGACCAAGAGTGCACATAAACTGAAATCACCCATAAGGCAAGAAGCAACTAGTTAATATTCTTTCACTTAGTGCCTATGAGTGTCAAACGAATTAGTTATAATTCAAATTTCTTCCAATTTAAGTACTGTAGGATTTCCTAATTGCTTCACAAAATATATATCCTTAAAATGCACACTTAGGTTCAAAAATTTCCTTATAAGAGTTGGATAAAGTGTGTGGATTGTCTATTATACACAATAAACCACACTGTAGTTCATGATATTCAAATCAGAGATTTAAAAAGTGAGGGCTTTAGCCAGGTGCAGTGGCTCATGCCTGTAATCCCAGCACTTTGGGAGGTAGAGGCAAGAGGATTGCCTGAGTCCGTAGTTTTAAGATTAGCCTGGGCAACTTGGTGAGAACTCGTTGCTAGAATAAATTTTAAAAAAATAGTCATGGATGGTGGCATGTATGCCTGTGGTTCCAGCTGCTTGGAAGGCTGAGGCAAAAGGATCACCTGAGCCCAGCAGGAGGAGGCTGTGGTGGCCATACGTGTGCCACTGCACTCCAGTCTGGGTGACAGAGTGAGACTCCTACTCAAAAAAAAAAAAAAAGTGAGGGCTTTGACGGGATTATAAATAAAAATAAAATAAAATCCTTACCATATTTTGTTCAATCCTTCCTATACAGTGATTCTGCTTTTATTTTATTTTATTTATTTATTTATTTGAGTCAGAGTCTCACTCTGTTGCCCAGGCTGGAGGATGTGGTATGATCACGGCTCAGTGCAGGCAACCTTGACCTCCTGGGCTCAGATAATTCTTCTGCCTCAGCCTCCCAAGTAGCTGGGAATATATGCCACCACACTTGGCTAACTTTTTGTAGAGATAAGGTTTCCCCATGTTGCCCAGTCTTGTCTCTAACTCCGGGGCTCAAACAATCCGTCTGCATTGGCCTCCAAAAGTGCTGGGATTACAGGCCTGGGCCAATGCCACAATTTTTTTTTTTGAGTTGGAGTTGCAGTCTGTCCTCAGACTGCAGTGCAATGCTACATTTTTAATAGTACTTTTCAAAGATAAAACAATTAGGTGTTTAATACAACCCAAATCTAAAAAATGGTCTAGTTTTCATTAAATATGCAAAATATCATTTTCTTGAAGGAAATATTAGATAGTTTTGCCTTATCAAACACATTGTATAATTAGGTAATAGCCAATGATGCCTAAAAAAAAAAAAAAAGGCCAACAGCACTTAGGAGAATATTTTAAATAAACAGGATTTTACCACCTGAAAATTCTTTTTTGACATCAGGAACTTACATCCTCTCATTTCTCATGCTCAAAATTGTACTTTTAAAGACATTAGAGAGGGAGGGCAAGAGGTGAAGGCAAGCCAACATGACTGTGCCTCTGAATGTTTAAAAAAAATTATTTTAGAGACAGAGTCCCACTATATTGCCTGAGCTGTTCTCGAACTCTTAGCCTCAAGAAAACCTCCCACGTCAGCCTCCCAAGTTGCTGGGACTACAGGTGCACTTCTCTGAATGTTATTAAATAGTCGTTGTAAAATCTCTTATAAAGACAGTCGAGGTTACACCTTAAACTCAGTATTTAAAAATTCAGCAAGTTTTTGGCATGCTCCCTTCATTTTTTTGATTGACTAGAGGACTACTTATAAAGCAGGATATAAACCTTTCTAGGCCACTTTAAACAGACTGGAGGGATATTCATGAAGGGAGTGACATAGCTCACTGACAAATCTTGATGTCAGTGACTGTCATCAGAGCATAAAGGGGCGAACATTTCAGACAAGCCACAGGAAGCATTTCCCATAAATACAGGAGTAATGCATGTGATTAAACAGCAGTAGGCACTATTGGAAACCTGCTTGGCTAGCAGTGTTACCCAGAGTATTTTGTGATGAGCTAAAAGAAAAAGAAAGAAAAGTACACAAATACCAGCAACAAGAATATTATATTATTGAGTCATTAACTCAGATAAAATGGGTTTTAAAAAGCCAAATTTTTTTTGTGGGTTTATTTCTCTTTTTGCTGTTTTACATGAATCCATGTGAGTGTTTTTAACAAATAAAAATACATGTATAAACTTACTTTAAAATGCAGCAAAAAGTTAAGCTGGATCAACAGATGCATAGATATGAGATAAAGCAAGATGTGAATGACAGAATATTAGGTAGTAGATACATGGATGTTTATTGCAATGGTCATTCAACTTGTCCATGTCTATTTGTTTATTTATTTTTAGATATATGGGTAGATACATGGGTGTCTGCTGCAATAATCCTCCAACCTGTCTGTATGTTTAAAAAACTTCATAATAAAATGTTGGGGGAAAAAAGACATGCAGAACTCAATGTTCTAAAACACTTTTCCCTATAGAAGTTATAGTTGGACTCACATTCACTGATGAATATTATAAGAGAATTCGTATATTTTTAAAAATCTCTACCCTGTAAAAGGTGTTCCATATACATCCCTTTTCCTAATTAGCAAAAGTTTGGCCATTTAAGCACCTAAAGTTGCTTTCTGTATCATCAGTTTTAAGGAACTGCCTCTAAAATGCACAATTTACATGTCTTTTAAAAAACAAAACAAAACTCTACTGTCACCAGAATAATAAGGAAAGAAATCAAGTAAGGAGTAAGATGGGGATTGATACTCAGCAATATAATGTGACCTGTGGGTGCCAATGAAAGTTATCAGCATTTATTGTCATCTGACTTGAGTTTATTAAATTAGTGATGGGCTTTGATTTGAGAACTGTTGAATGCCTTATGCTGTGAATTGGTTTTCTAGTCTCTCAAGAAAAGATGATCTAGATAGGCCGAGTGCAGTGGCTCATGCCTGTAATCCCCAGCATTTTGAAAGGCCAAGGTGGGAGGATTGCTTGAGCCCAGGATGTAGAGACCAGCCTAGGCAACAAAAAAAGAAAAAAAAAAAATCAAAAAATTAGCCAGGCGTGATAGGGCTAGCCTGTAGTTCCAGCTACTCAGGAAGCAGAGGTGGAAGGATTTCTTGAGCCTAGGAGGTCAAGGCTGTATTGAGCCATGATAGTGTCACTGCAACCCAGACTGGTTGACACCCCAACTCAAAAAAATAAAAAATAATACAAAAAGATGACCAAGTTAAAAAAGTATCCTTAAGTTAGGTGTGGTAGCGCCTGTAATTCCAGCACTTTAGGAGGCCGAGGCAGGAGGATTGCTTGAGCCTAAGAGTTCAAAACTGCCTAGGCAACATATCAAGACCTGTCTCCACAAGGATGGGGAAAAAATAGCCGGGCATGGTAGAGCATGCCTGTAGTCCTAGCTACCTGAGAGGCTGAAGTAGAAGGACTGCCTGAAGCCAGAAGGTCGAGGCTGTGGTGAGCCATGATCGTGCCCAATGCACTCCAGCCTCGGTGACACAGTGAGACTACGGCTCAAAAAGAAAAAAGAAAGTGTCCTTAAAAACCACACCGTATCACTCATAGACCTTTCCTCGAATAGACAATCATAACAAGAGCAATCTATATAGAAGAAACTGGAGGCAAACAGGGTCTCAGTAAAGTGTAAGCCAGGTTCTCTGTGACTGCTCAGGGGAAGATTGGGATGACCGCCTGTTTTCTTCTGCTTCCCTTGGCTGTACAGTACTGGGTCAGGAGATCATAAACCAGTTATCAGCCTCTCCGGGTTGGAAACATGCCTTTTGTTTCCAGAATTAACAAGCTTAGATGAACTTGGAAGGAAGTAAGGGCTGGAGTCACATCTGAAGTTGACTTTGGTGTTTCACTCTTTCCCCAAACCTCCAGGAAAACAGGGGCTATAGAAACCAACACGGCACTTAGGATCAATGTGTGATAAATTTCTGGATCCATGAAACAGCTCCTCAAATAACCAAACTTCAGTGTGGTTTGGCATTATTTGTCTCATAAGATCAAGAAAAAACAACCCCAAAATTTGCTTTTCTTTTTTTTTTAGGTATTGCATGAGGCATCCAATAAGACATAATTTCTGTGTTTTAGGACCTTCTGCATTTCAGTAAACTTAAAACTTAATCCAACAAATATTTCCCAGGAACGTATTATGGAAAGCAATGCACCTTTTTGGTTTGGTTTTGCTGTCAAAATTAAATGTTACTTTCACTCTTCCTCAGAAAAGCTAAAACACAAATTCTTCCTTCTTTTTTAGCCATGATCTTTTCCTCCTTCCAACTAGGTCTTCCATATGTTGATAGTCACTTAAGTCCTTCCATATGTTGATAGTCACTTAAGTCCTTCCTTGGGTTCTATTCCAGTTATGCTCAAAAACAGACAGCAGAAAAACATTCCAAGGAAAAAGATCCCATAGACAGGGTAGACGGTAGTTCCTCTCATGGTAAATGTTCATTGTTGAGTTGTCTTAGTCCTAGCAACTGTAGTATCATATGCTACTAAAATCTTTCTTTCAGAAATGAAAATAAGTCAGATTGGAGGGCAGAGGCTATCCAGTAGTCCAGGATAACTCTAAAAACCTGGCTGAAAGGATTTCCCCTACACCAGTGTCTCTTTACTGTGGTGGTACTATCTGGAGTTTTGCTCATCCTGTTCTTTGATATTTCATACAGCGAGAAGCTCTTGTGAAACTACAGCTTGGCTCAATTTAAAATATTAATTTCTGATTTCACTGCAGTTAGTGACCACATTGATACATAATAGCGTGACAAACTATGTTTCTATTAGTTTTATAGCTTTTACATGCTAACTCCAATAAATATTACTGTAGTGGGGAGTGAAAAATAAAGTAAAAGAGAAGGAAAAGCAGAATAAGAAAATAAATTTAAATGAATGAAGAGCTCTTTAAGTGCTAAGAAATTATAAACAACTCAAGAAGAAGCAGAGTTATCACAACAAAGAAAAATGAAATAGATTGAAAAATTCCCCTTACTACAACTTTGTTTTAAATGGAGTCACTTCTTAAATCTAGCAACAAACTGTATTATTAATAATAATACAGAAATGTTTAATTTATTTTCTCATGAATCCTTTGGTCTTTTCTTTGACATTTATCTATAAGTAGAATAGAGCATTTTTTCTATTTAATATTTGGGTAAAAGAATACATGGAACATATTTCATCTTTCTTAAAACATAATTGTCATGACCGTGACTCTCCTTTGGGGGATAGCAGGTTCAAAGTCATAAAATGACATATGAAATTAATAAATTCTTTCTTAAAATATATGAAAAATAACGATAAATGTGATATAAATGGGCCATTTCAGTCACTTGTGAGTAAACCAATATATTATGGCTTTTTCCTGACAAATGGATCATCTGTAGAGGCAGCTTGGGAACAGTTACACAAGAAGTCATCGTACACACAGGATACTCACGTTTTAGTATATTTCTTTGCTCTAATTCTTCAGTTGTGGGCCTCTGGCTCAGTCTCCTATGATGACAAAAATGATATACTGCAGATTACAAACAAGGTCCCTTTAGTGGGAGATCCAAAATAAAACAACAAGCAAACTAAGCTCTACTTTTTCATGTTTTGAGAAGGAAAAATCCATTTTAAACCTACAAAATAAAAGTCTTCTTCTCATTAGTTTGGAGACTACAGATTGTGGCCGAGACTGCAAACCATTTGCCATTTCCCAGTTTATCCTCTTCCTTTCAGAAAAAGGTCTGCCTGCATTTTAGCTAGTACCTGACTACAGGCTTCTGCCTCCCTAGAAGCCAGATATAGTTATGTGTCAGAGTTTCTGCAATGGGATGTGAGCAGAATGACATTTATAACTTCCATGTTTTACCCTTAAAATGGCTGGGTGTGTATTCATTCCCTTCTTTCTTTTTCTTTGTTCCATAGGCCAGAACTTCAACAGAGTGGTGTTAGCCACCTTTTATCATGCGGATGAGACCACTCAAGGGGATGGAACAGCAGCAAGACAGGAGCTGTGCTGCCCACCCAACTCTGGACTGTTATTAACATGAAAAGGAAATATACATTCTTTGAAGCACTGTATTTTTTGGTCTCTGTTATAGCAGCTTAGCCCATAGACGAATTAATCCATAGATCATTGGAGTCTAAAATAGGTGGCTGTTTATGAGTTCATAGGGACTTAGGAGGTGACCAACATGGTCAAAATAGTGTTTAAGTGAAAAATGGCTTTCAAGACCTCAAATGAATATGTAATATAGAAAGTTATAGGCCCTTCCCATCTGTCTTCAAGGAAACCCAGACTTATTTGTGATTATGAAAAATTCCCTCTCTTTCATTAGACATGGAGTTCCCTTAGGCTGGAATGGTGGGTGATTTATCTTTCCTTTTTAAAAATGTTATGTAGAGATGAGGTTTCGGTATGTTGTCTAGGCTGGTCTCGAACTTCTGGGCTCAAGCAATCCTCTAGCCTTGGCCTCCCAAAGTTCTGGGATTACAGACATGGGCTACTGTGCCCAGTTGACTTTTTTATTTTTTTGGGGTCAGAGACTCACTTTGTTGCCCAGACTGGAACATAGTAGTACTATCATGGTTACTTCAGCCTTGACCTGGTGGGCTCATGAGATCCTTCCAACTCAGTCTTCCAGGTAGCTGGGATTAAGGTGTATGCCACCATGCCCGGCTAATTTTTTTATTTTACTGTAGAGATGAGGTCTCGCCATGTTGCCCAGGTTGGTCTCGAACTCCTGGGCTTAGACAATCCTCTCACCTTGGACTCCCAAAGTGCTGGGATTACAGGGGAGAGCCACCATGCCTGGCTGATTTATCCTTCAGTGATAGTGCTTAGATGTGCTGTGTTTGTGTAAAAGTAATTCTACAAAATTTACTCATAAATAACTGTAAAAACCCTGGCTGTATTAAAGTTTTGATAAATAGTTTATAATACTAAGGCTTACAAACTCTTGGGGCTTGTGGCGGAATCCTAATTTATACGAGAGACAAGTTTTCTCAGTCAGATCATTAGAACTGGGATGGAGAAGTCTCCTCCTACATCTGCCCACACACATGCCTACACTTTCCTGTCTCTCCTGGTAGATGCCCGTGTATCATCTCCAAGAAGTCCTTGAAGGCACAGCTAGTAACCAATATTGAATGATTCCATGGGTCAGCTTCTCACAGTGTCCTTCATCAGGTCCCGATTTTTGAGCATTTAGTTTTAGATTGTTATTGTTTGTCATTGCTATTTAATTTACAATAAACATCTTTGTAAACATAACATGTTTGCTTCTTTCCCTTTTGAATAATTTCCTTCTTATATAGTCCCCAAATGGAATTACCATCCAAAGAAATAGACTGCTTCATCAACTTTTTACCATATTGTTAAACTATTCTCCATAAGTACTGAACAAGAGCAATGTATATGTGTCCCGTGTTCCCAAACACTTGCCCACATTGGGCTTAATTTTAATATGTGCTTTACAGCTGGGCTCGGTGACTGGCTCAGCCTATAATCTCAACACTTTGGGTGGCTGAGGTGAGTGAATTGCCTGAGCCTGCGGGTTCAAGACCAACCCGGGCAACTTGGCGAGACCTTGTCTCTATAATAAATCAAAAATTAACCAGGCGTGCTGGTGCACACCTGTAGTTCTAGCTACTTGGGAGGCAGAGGTGGAAGGATCTCCTGAGACCAGCTGGTTGACGCCAGGGTGGCTGTGAGCGTGCCACTGCACTCTAGCCTGGGCGACTGAGTGAGACTCCAACTAAAAAGAATACAAAATATAAATTGTTTTACTAGTTTAATCAGTGGATAGTAATTTAAAATAATAGGAAGAAACAATTATTTTGTGTGCTTGCCGTGATCCAGGAACTGCAGTGCCTTAAGTGTACCGTCTCCTTTAATCCTCTCAAGCTCTTGGGTTAGCCAGTTCTGTTTTACACAAGGCGCCAAGCCGGGGCTCTGTTCTGCCTTGTTCTCTAGTCTGCCAGTTCTGGATCATTCAATGCTCTGATACTGAACATCCATCTCCCACGACGGTTCTCAGGCTGATTTTCCCTAAGTGATCACAGTGTTAAACTTCCCAATCTGTGCCCATAGGCCCCTCAGCCTATCTTAGCGAAGGTATTCTTTTGGCCCACCTTGGAAACAGTGAACTTTATTCATGTCTGGTTTCATTTTATAATTTTTAAAATAATATAGAAATGGGGGTCTTACTATGTTGCCCAGGCTGGTCTCAAACTCCTGGACTCAAGTGATCCTCCTGCGTGCTGGGATTCAAGGCATCAGTCACCATGCCCAGTCTTCATTTTATAGAATTGATCCATAATTTATGCTCTGATTCTATAAAATACATCTATGATCCTTCAAACTTTATACCACTCACACATCTGATAAACTCATCTGTTGAATTTTCCTCATTGACAAAAATGTTTACTCCCTCTCTGTTTACTTATATATTCCTTTATTCCTTCCATCAAGATTTTCTGGAAATGGATTTCATGGGCCTCAAGTTAAATTAATAGTTGATTATTTAAAATGTGTCTGTAGCTACTAATGAAATGCAATCTCCCCTTTTCATTTTCTTGCTAAGTATCAGTTACTGAAATATGATGTTGATTTTTATGGATTAATCTTACAACGAGTGAGTCTGCTGAAATTATTATATGTAGCAATTTATGGTCAGTTTTTCTGTTTTCTAGGTTTACGACTATGTATAATAACAGTATCCCTTTCTTATAATTTATGTATTTTCTTCACTACAAATAATTGTGATTAGACTTTTAATACAGTAAAAGCGGGGAATTTTTGTTTGCTTTGATTTTTAAAGAAAATGACTTTAGAGTTTCTCCGTATACTAAGATATTTGGCATTATTTTAAAAAAACCCTTTCCTTCCCATATGTTTAGGATTTTAACAAAGATACACAAAATTTCCCTTACCACCTTGGGAATAAGTGCCACCTTGACACTTATTGAGATGGGTATATCTACTCCATTCTTTTACCCTTTACTATGATAAACTATTATGACAGTGTTTTTAAGGAATGCACCTTATTTGGCATTATTATTTTGTGCAAATGTTATTCAATGATTTAAATGCTTCACAGCAAAATATAAACAAGGGCAATAAAACATCAAATAATTTTTTAAAACCCTAGAAGCTTATACTCTCTTACGTGGTATAAAAAGTACAAAATGGGAGACAGTATAAAAAAGAAAATTGGGAAGAGAGCCCAGGAACTGAAATTCTAATCCTGGGTCTGCTTCTAAGTAACTGCATGTCCTTGAGAAATTTCCTTAATCTCTTCTGGGCCTCAGGGAGGCCTCTTGTTTTTACTTGGTAAGATGACAAGTTTAGACCTGTAGGTTTTTCCAGTTCGAAACTGTTAATCACTTTAGTTCCTTTTACTTCTGCTGGCTCTTTCTTGAAGCCATCAATGGTCAAAGTTTAGGGCTGAAGTGAGAAAACTAGAGTGAGAGAGACCATTGGTAAACTCTTCCCAACCTTCTTTCAGAGTTGAGGTGGGGGGGAGATTCCAGAATAAAGAGAACCTCTAATCCTCTCCCTAGATTCCTTCTCAAACTAGGCTTTCCTTTAGATGGATGCCACTGCAGTCTCTGACATCTTTCTCAACGTTTCAGCCATTAGAAGGTCTCTTAGGGGGTTATTCTCCCTCTGCAGAAATAGTCAATAGCTTCTGAAACCCCTCCTTGCCAACTCTGCCTTTAGTTATACCGCTTCCAAGGAAGGAAAGCAATTTCCTCTCAACTCCAAACCCTGCTCAGGGATTCCAGACTGTTCCCTTCTCCCAGTTATGTACCCTGTTGTATATGGAGAGTGAGAAAAGTCAGCAGAATTATTATTTCTTAAATGTTGCTAAAACCGATCATCAAAATTAAGGGCTTTGGTATGACAGAAGGAATACCCACTTCTATTAAAACTGTCAGTTACGCTGGGTGTGGTGGCTCATGCCTGCAATCCCAGCACTTTGGAAGGCAAAGGAGAGAGAATTGCCTGAACACAGGGGTTTGAGACCAGCCCAGGCAACTTGGTGGAGAGCCTCATCTCTACAATAAATAAACAAATTACCGGCCAGGCGCGGTGGCTCAAGTCTGTAAGCCCAGCACTTTGGGAGGCCAAGGTGAGGGGACTGCCTGAGCCCATGGTTTCAAGGACAGCCTGAACAACTTGGCGAGAGCTCATCTCTACAATAAATCAAAAAATTAGCTGGGCGTGGTAGTGTGTGCCTGTAGTTCTGGATATTTGGAAGCCTGAGGTGGCAGGATCGCCTGAACCCAGTGGGTCGACACTGGGGTGATTATGAGTGTGCCACTGTACCCCAGCCTGGGTGACTCAAAAAATAAAAACAGCCGGGCTCAGTGGCTCAGCCTGTAATCCCACGCATTGGGAGGCCGAGGTGAGTGAACAACCTGAACCCGCGGGTTTGAGACCTGCCTCGGCGACTTGACGAGACCGCATCTCTACAAAAAATCAAAAATTAGCCGGGCTTGGTAGCGCGCGCCTATAGTTCCAGCTACTTGGAATGCTGAGGCGGAAGGATCTCCGGAGCCCAGCAGGTCCAGGCTGCGGTGGCCGGTAGCGGCCACTGCACTCCAGTCTGGGCGACAGAGTGAGACTCCGACTCAAAAAAATAAAAAACAATTTTAAAAAACCCCAAAAAAACCACCAACAATAAATTAACCAGGTGTCATGGTGCATGCCTGTAGTTCCAGCTACTTGGGAGGCTGAGGCAGAAGGATCGCCTGAGCCCAGCAGGTCAAGGCTGCAGTGGCTGTGAGTGTGCCACTGTACTCCAGCCTGGGCAACAGAGTGAGACTCTGACTCAAAATAAAACCAACAAAAAAAATCTGTCAGTTACATGGACTTCCAAAGGCACTAGTGGCAAATGCAGAAATTCTGCACAATGGTGGGAGGCAGAAAGAGATGTCAGATAAAGGTAAACGGGGAAGTAAAGATCGGGAAGCCATGTTTACCTGACTTGGCTGGAGCCAGGCCACTGAAGCTAACTAATATACATGCAGTCTCACAGTCCACAGGGCAGAACCTCATCCTCAGGAATGATAAGTGAGTTCACATATTAGGCCAGGAGTTGGACAAGCTATGGTCTGCAGGCAAAATCCAGCCTAGCACATTTTTTGGTAAATAAAATTATTGGAACACAGTCACACTCATTTGTTTATATATTATGTCTATTTTCATGCTACAACAGCACAGTGGAGTAGCTGCAATATGGGCTGTCTGGCCAGCAAAGCCTAAAATATTTACTAACCGGTCCTTACAGAAAACGTTTGTTGATCTCTGGTGTAGACTTTGGCTACCCCAAAGTCATTGGCTAGTTGTGCCAAAGAACAGGTTCTTTGAGTCATACCATCCAAGACAAATTTTAAAAGATTAGATAGTTCGGATGCATCTGTACACAAGGGATTTACAATGTTCTCAGTTAGGTAGGGAGAAAAAAATTAGTACTGTCCTAAAATTTCTGCAATTACCTGACTAACTTGGTTCCAATTTGCTGTCGGATTTCCTGCCTCTCTTCTTCAGATGTACGCTGCAGGATGTTTTTGTCCTCTAGTTCTTTCTTCGATGGTCTGTTGCCAAGTTTGATAGCAAGAGTATCCCTTCGTCGTATTTTACTTGCCAAAGCACCTGAAGATTGAAAAAGGGCAGACATGCAGAGAAAGTGGCTTTTAGCCAGTGGCACTCAGGTTACACGTGGCAGGGACTTTACACAGAGCCCAGACCAAATTCTTTATACCCATGCAAGAGGAGAGTCTTAATGAACCTAAGGAAAAAAAAGACTTTTAAGTTAGATGTAGTTCATCATGAAAAGACTGAGAAATTAGTTTTTAAAATGTTCTGAAAAATATTGGAACATCAGGAAAAAACTTGGAAGTATCACTTCATTTGGAAAGTGATAGCTGAAGTTTATTTTGCTGAGATGGTGGATCCCAGAAACCACAGATTGCCCAATCCTTTCTCTCTTTCATATTTTTAAAAACTCTCCCCCCTTTACTCATAGTGTACAGTTAATCTGTGTCTCTTCCTTTCTTCCACTCAGACACTATGCTGGCAGAGTCTACTGTGTATATACCAATGTTTTAACCCTCAATGACCTAAGAATCCTTAAAATCAAGTCAGATGATACCAGATGGAGAGTAATGATTTTTTTTGCTTCATACAAATTGGAAGGCATTTAGCAAACTTCTGTTCAATCATTAAGATACTAATAACTTGGCTGGGGTCGGTAGCTCAACCTGTAATCCCAGCACTTTGGGAGGTCAAGGTGACTGGATTGCCTGAGCCCACGGGTTCGAGACCAGCCCGGACAACTTGTTGAGATCTCACCACTACAATAAATAAAAAATTAGGCTGGGCTCGGTGGCTCAACCTGTAATCCCAGCACTTTGGAAGGCCGAGGTGAGTGGATTGCCTGAGCCCACGGGTTTGATAAGAGCCAGGCAACTTGGTGAGACCTCATCTCTACAATTAAAAAAAAAATTAGCCGGGTATGGTAGCAAGCACCTGTAGTTCTGGCTACTTAGAAGGCTGAGGCGGAAGGATCACAGAAGCCTAGCAGGTCAACGCTGGAGTGGCCATGAGCCTGCCACTGCACTCCAGTCTGGGCGACAGAGTGAGATTCTAACTCAAAAAAAAAAAACGGATACTAATAATGTGTCATAACCTATAAATTCAGTCCCACAGTGAATCCTTCCCAAGTCATCTTGCTCAAAAGTTAAAAAAAAAAGCACTTTCCAGTTCCCTAAGTTACACATAAATTACCTACATTAGTATCATTCTTTCTTAGAAGGCATACTGCATTACTTATTGTGAGTGAATGATTATTTTTAATTCTAAAGAGACATTTGGTATTCTTGATTCATTCCTTCCTCCCCGTCTTTAAATCCCAGTATAAAAGTGAGTGAAAATCTCAAACATCTCCAACGGGTAAGTCAATGAATCCAGCACTGACATTCTTTTTTCAAGAATGATCCCAGAGTCTGGGCCCTATGGCTCATCCCTATAATCTCAGCACTTTGGAAGGCTGAAGCAGGAGGACTGCTTGCCAGGAATTTGAGACCAGCCTAGGCAACATAGCAAGATCTCATCTCTACAAAAAATTAAAAAAATTAGCCAGGTGTGGTGGCAGCATCTGTAGTTCCAGCTACTTGGGAGGCTGAGGCAGAAGGATCACCTAAGCCCAGGAGGCTGAGGCTGCAGTGCCATGATCATGCCACTGCACCCCAGTCTGGGTGACAGAATGAGACATGAGACTCTGACTAAAAAGACAACAAACAAACAAAAACAAAAAAAACCCCAATGGTCCCAGGGTGGACAGGTCATCTTTGATCACACTGAAAAAGGCCCCTGCCATGAGAAAGCTCTGACTCTTTGTGAAAACACAAATATGCACAAAGGACAGACCCACTCTTGTAGCAACATCTTCTGGAAAGGCCTGTCAACAAAAGCCAAACTTTAGAACAGACACACTTTTAACTTGAGACAGAAAGATGAAGGGCACGAAAACAACAGATATCTGGTTCTTTTTTTTTTTTTGAGTTGGAGTCTCACTCTGTCGCCCAGACTGGAGTGCAGT